TTCTCCTTTTCGTCCCGTGATAGTGGCCCCACATCAGTATGATATATAGTATTCCACTCGTTGTCACTAGATTTATTCTCTTCGTCAATAATATCACGATAAAGTGTAAATGCATCAGGACGCTTATCAGGATCAGCATCACAACACCGCTCGGCAAGTTTCTTGTATTCCCTTGGAGCAGAATCTGGCATCGACGGTCGTAGTCCGCCCATAATGTCGCGTACTAAGCTCCTATCGAACTGTCGATCTCTAAAAGGTGGTTCACCAGTAGCAATCAAATGCACGATGATACCAAATGAATACACATCCGATTCCTGAGTAAATTTGCACGTACGGAAGACTTCCGGTGCAATAAAAGGCAAAACGCCTTGAATGGTTGGATTGGACTCGTGTGAGTTCACCGATCGTGAGGGTCCAAGATCGCATATGTAATTCGTATCGTCATGTATAACAAGGTTTCCGCCATGAAGATCGCAGTGTACTAATCCCGCGTCATGAATACACCACAGACAATATGCAATGTCCTTCAAATGCCGTAATTTATCTCTCCACGTCAATTTGTTGATATTTTGAACCAAATAAGACAAAAGACTGCCATTGTTAGCATATTGCATAACAATCCAGTACTCTTGTGTCATTAGTCTTAGGTCTCGTACTTGTGCGACTCCATGAATGTTAAGGAATGCACAAGTATAATCTGAACACTTGGCACGATTCCTGAACTATTGAATAAATAATAAATAGAGTCAGCTTAAACGTCATTTTAATTGATACTACCAAGCATTGCTTACCTCGGAAATAAATAAGTCCGGCATTTCATCAGAAATTTTAAATCGTTTGAGTACAACTGTTTGTTGCATACCCTCTACTTCTGAATACTTTTTATAATTAGCAGTGTAAACTGTTCCGTAACCACCAACTCCGATCTCTTTGAGTTCATCAAAGTCGCTGAACTGCATTCTTTCAATCCAAAAGTTGTTTATTATAAACCTGTCCAGTAGCGCATCTTTTCTATGGTAGAAAACTAAATAATATTTCCCAGTCTTCCGAGTGAATCCAATTATCCAGATATTATCGGGTGTTAATATCGTCGGATATTCATTAATTAACTATTTTGAGTAAACAGAATACGACGTTATAACACTTGTCAATTAAACGCTTGATACGCACTTATCGATTGCATTGTTTACACGTATAATTTACCTGATGAAGATCAAGTGGCTGATTGTTTTGTTCGTCAGCTATTTCCTTGAGGGTTACAGACAATTCATTCCATGTTGCCATATGCGTGCATCCATGGCGTAATGGCGTCAACCCGACTACCTCTGTTAATTGAGAATATTCGATCCATTGTATATACATATCATATGCGTTCTTTGTATTACTCCACGACTCCATAATAAATAAATCCAATAATCTGTTGCCTGTAGTCCAATCAAGAGGTGCTGGTGCTTTACATGCTTTACAGAATGCCTTTATCGTGGGAAATAATTCCCTCGTACACGCCAGACATAATCCATCGTTAAACACTTCTTTTATTAGACAATACTTTTGTTCGCTTGCTTTGTACGTAAATCCGATGGTATGCCAAACACCCGCGGTAAGAATATCTGGATGCTTATCACATAACTAGTGGAAATGATGCATAATACGTCGTCAATAATTATTTAAACCATTCAATAAACATGACGCATAAGAAAATAGTTTACCTCGTCATAATATAAATCATGTGTCGAGTCTGTTATCTCAAGTGGAACTGATTCAACGTATTCCAAAGTAGGTAGACCAAATACATCCAAGAATTCAAATTCCCAACCACCAATACAATCGGATGGAATCCATTCCAGATAGGCGTCATTCGCTGAGTTTGTTTGTGACTGAGTCTTCTTTATAAACTCGTCGAGTTGCTTATTGTTGCTAGTCCATCCATCGGATAATTCTTTATGTCCACAAACGCACCACACGGGACTACATCGGAGTATTCCACATGTGGAGCAGAAGCCATACCGAGAGTAACAATGGTAAAAGCGTTTATAAGCAACCATGTAATAGTTATTGTCATTAGACTTGGTGAATCCGAGAATGAGGCTGTTGCGATAAAAACGCCATATGGAGTATCGTCTAAAGTTATTGTCCATGTTGTTGTACTCGCCTGTTGGAAGTGAGTATATTCTGGCCAACTCACTCACAAGTGTTGGTGTGCATGCTTCATTACTTCCAAGTAACAGCAACATAATTTCAGCCTCTTTGGCAGTAGCGCAGTAAACGTTGTCAATTTGGGTCGACTTTACGTCAGCGATATCCTCGTAAGGTATCCATCCAAGTCTATTGTATTCATCGGATTGAACCAAAGCGTCTATTGCTGGATTATTAACAGCTTCTGATGTCGACGACATAGTAACAGGTTGTGATTAAAAGAATTCAAGTTGAAGCAAATGTTCGTTCTTCAATACTTGTGTTACATCGCCACATCCGCAGTTACACATATTGTATTACCATTATGATTATCATTATTATTAGTATTAGGCAAAAAACCGACGCGACCGAGTTCCGATCCTTTGCACTTAATGCACCGGATTGCGCGTTGAGCATGCGTCTACTTGCAACATCTGAACGATCACTAATTCTCTCCTCTTCGACTGACGCCTACGCTTTTTTAATCATAAGCAAGCCAAGCGAGTGTCCTGACGTCCCAAGCAATTTGCTTCCAAACGCATCTTCTGTGCTTCTACGTAGTGTCTTTTGTAGATAACTAAACTAATGAAAATTTGGTGTAGTCGTGAGGCAGCCGGTTAACGTTTAATCAGCCCCGGTTTAAACAGGTTTCACCTGTAAAGAACAGATAACATAACGATTACTTTGCTAAAATAACCCAAAAGCTAAAGGGTCAATTTTGCCCAAAATTTGCCTGCAGACTAACGTCTTCCAGGTTTATGGGGAAGTCGTATTGATGAGCCATCACAGCAGTCCAGTCGTCCGTGGCGGCAAGAATACTTTACGTCAATGCGATAAAAGACGATAGTACGATCTGACGTGTCATTCCATTTCCCATTCAGATGCTTTTTTAATACAGCTCAATTGCGTTTTCTGATTATCTTTTTGCTCACTACCGCTTGTCGAGAATACGTTGTTCATATGCATCATTTCTGTCGGATTGGTTTCGGATACATTCTACGTCAATCCCAACACATTATGCATCCCGCCGCGCTATCATCATCTTTCTTGGTCTTCATTTTCTACTCTCATTGTTCTATAAAGGATGGATGAGGCCTTTTTAACTTTCGTTGATGGATTGTAGTCGGTTTGGACTATTTCGCAGGCACGTGAAACGCCCCTTGTTAGAGCAAAGTGGCATAGTCAGCAGATTTACTTTCTGGAAGACAGTTTTTCCGAGACTAATAGAAGAGCTTGAGTAATATAGTTACCGCAATGTAAAATCGTTTGCAACATATGGACATTAGTTGCCCTCCAAAAATTAAATTTCTCCTTTCAAGAAAGTCTGTAGATAACGCAAATTCCGTTTACGTTGTATCAATGACACCTATGCCTCGCGAAATATGATTGAAGTTATTCTCGGAACCTAATCGTCCTCAAACAAAAAAGAGGTAAAAGTGTATTTAGGTTATTGCATAAAACCATACTGCAGCTGAAATCAAATATAAACATACATTCGACCGAGATTAATATATGTCTGGAACCACCATCAACAGCCTTTTCGTAGACAAAGTTTTTCCCATGGGGGTGCTGGAGGTACCAGCCAACTTCTCGTCTAGCGGATCAGCTGGAATCCTGGTATCGTAAGTATTGCGAGGTGGGAAACCATCTTCGAAGCTATCATCTGGAAATACGGGGTATAACACCATATTCATCCTCAAACATGCCACGAGCCCCCATTTTCCTCATAGAAGTTAACTGCCGTTTCTTGGTCTCTTTCCGAACCGGCTTGTGCTCGTTGGTCAGACGGACCCTGGCATTGTATTTGTCATCGAGACGAAAAAATGGTTTGGGAGATACCGATGATTGAGGTGGAAAAGTCGAATTGACAATTTGGGAAAAAACCAGTGGCCGCGAAGAGTACTGCCGCAGTCTTGACGGTTTTCGTAAATTTGCGTTAAACCGCAATTTCCAGTGTGGAGTGGATGTCCGAGACTGCTCTAAGAAAAGGGTTCTCTTCCGACATGTCTGATCCCTTCTCCGAAATGTTAATCATGAAATGAATGCTCGCATCAGGATATGTACGAGCGACTTAGAATGAGGGCGAGCTAGATGTTTTTAAGATACCATATTATGTTATCATTTATGTATTATTCCATGCATACATGATAACAGCCAAATTAATATATTACCTCAATCATTTCCAGGCACTCTAAGACTTTCCATGGCTTCTTTGATATCGCGTCAGTCATTTGAATTACCTT